TGCTGCAGATTATTTCTGTAAAAATATGAGACAGCTAATTTAAATTCATACTATTGATTATGTATGTGGAGGCGAAGTTTATTAAAATTAGGCAATTGATTTAATTATATACATGTGCGTTTGGGGACCTGCGGTCGGTAAATTAGATCTGCTGTTTCCCCTCTTCCTTTGTGAGTTTGATGGGCTTTGATCAATATCCCGGAAGCAGCTTTCCTTTAACACACAGGCACACTCAACATAAACGGAACTGAATGACATGGATGTTAATAAAACTTTCCTGGCTTCCCAAGCTGTAGTCTTATTTAAAAATGAATGGACATAAATGTCATCTCATTTGCCAAATATGATTTAACCATGCAGTACATAATGGTTATTGAAAGCTATGCATTAGAGTGAGAATGAGCTGGGCTTCAATCCCAGCTTTGCTGTTTATTGGTTGTATGTCCTGACACATGTTACAGAGCATCTCCAAGCTGCAGGCTGCTCATCCATCTATAAGTCAGTAATAATACCTAACTCCTATCTTTGTTTGGAGGATTAAATGAAATAAATAATATTTTCATTAAAAAAATTAGCACAGCATCTCGCCTATAGTAATGCCTCAATCATTGTTGCTTTTGTTATGGTTATTGTATTTATTGTTCCATGATTTTGAAATATTTAGCAAATGTCCTTAGAAAATTTCTGCAAAAAGTCTTCCAGGTATGAATTTTTATATTCTAGATAATCAACTTTATGTTCAAGGACGTCTTTAGAGCATATAAAATTATCACAGTCATTTTTACTTGCTTCTTCTTTTTAGCTTGGCATACCCCCAAAACCAACAGAATAATCAAAGCCACAGTGATGTCATAAATTCAGAAAAATAGTGTCACATTCTTGAAAACATTTTATTGAAGTAAAATATTTGTAGCCACTTGTTATGAAGACATCAATAAAACATCAGGCAGAAAAGAAGATAAAAATAAATCCTTTGCACACTATTGCTTCCTCAATTCATAGTTAGAGAAAAGCTGGAGGTTGCTAAGAGCAAAAAGTGGAGGCATCTACTGTTGCTGACACGACTCATGTTGGCCGCCTTTCAGTCCCCAAATGCTGCTTGTTTCCTTGGCAGAGACAGGAATATTATGAGGCAAGAGTTCATTGGAATTACGAAATTTGAGGTTTTCATACAGATATAAGGAATTTGCTGAAGGCAAGTCAGAAGGCCAACTTCAATTGTGCAAATCCTCTGGCCACCCATCTTCAACAAATAGAAAGAAGTAAAAGCACAGGAAGCCATTTCCCTAGCACAAGGGTAATTGCACTGAAAGAGAATTTGTGTTTCAGTAGCTCGTGCCCAGTGTTTCTGAGGGTAAATAGAATCAATAACACCAGCAACATAGTAAATGCTAAATGAGCACTTAATGAATTGAAAACGGACTAGAAAGCCAGCCATCAAGACATAGTCAAGAACCAGGGAGGGGAGAGAAAAATCAGATCACCAGTGAAGCACAAGTTGCAATTATATCTCTTTAGTTGACTTGACATTCAATTTATTTTTAAAATTATACCGCAGTATATTTCCACAGTATAAAACTGGAAAATGAAGAAAAGAAAAAAACAATTTAAAAGATAGTAGTAGATAATTTCTCAGCTGGCTCAGCCACTTTCTAGCCTTATGATAGCAAGTGAGTTCATTGAGCCTTCTTACCTCAGTTTACTCCTGTGTACCATCATATGCCTTCTTCTTACCGTTTTGATGGGCATAAATGAGATAAGATAGAGGCCGAACATAACACCTGGAACATAACAATTGAATATCAAAACTGATAGATTTAACATTAAAATATTATACTTTACGAATGTATGTCCAGAGTTTTGTTTCATTGTATGGGAACTAGCAAGTTTCAGTGTTCATTTCTTAAATATACACCTTTATATCCTGCTTTTCCCATTTTTATCAAAAGCACTTTCAATCATCGACAAAACCTCTTCATAAACATCTCATTGAACGGCTACATAATTGCCTATTGTAAGAATTTACCTACCTTTCAATTTTTTTAATTGATGTATAATTGACATACAGCATTGTATTAGTTTCAGGTGTACAACATAATGATTTGATATTTGTATACATTAAGAAATGATCGCCACAGAAAGTCTAGTTGCCATCTGTCACCATACATAGTTACAGAATTTGTTGTGTGTGTAACAAGGACATTTAAGATTTGCTGTCAGTGATTTTCAAACATGCAATACAGTATTATTAACTATAGTTGCCATGCTGTACATTATAACCCAAGTCTTATTTTTTTTTGTAACTGGAAGTTTGTACCTTTTGACTTCCTTTGCCCATTTATCCTACCCTCAACACCCTGCCTCTGGCAACCACCAATCTATGAGCTTGGGTTCTTTTTGATTTTTGTTTTAGATTCCACATGTAAGTAAGATCATACAGTATACATCTTTCTCTGTCTGACTTATTTCACTTAGCATAAGGCCCTCAAGATCCATCCATGTTGTTGCAAATGAGAAGATTTCATTCTTTTTTATGGCTGAATAATATTTCATTGTATATATACACCACATTTTCTTTACTCACTCATCTATTGATGGACACTTAGGCTGTTTCCATGTCTTGGCTACTGTAAATAATGCTGCAATAAACATGGAAGTGTATATATCTTTTCAAGTTAGTGTTTTGTTTTCTTTGGATAAATACACAGAAGTAGAAAGTCTGAATCATATGGTAGTTCTACTTTTAGTTTTTTGAGGAATCTCCATACTGTTTTCCGTAGCTGCTACACCAATTTGTATTCCTACCAACAGTGCACAGGATTCCCTTTTCTCCACATCCTTACCAGCACTTGTTATTTCTTGTGTTTTTGGTAACAGCCATTCTAACAGGTGTGAGGTGATATCTCGTGGTTTCGATTTGCATTTCCCTGATGATTAGTGATGTTGAGCATCTTTTCATGTACCAATCTTTCTTGCATTATCTCCTCTTGATGGAAATATAGGTTGTTTCCACTCAACTCTCTAAAAAATAAGGTTATGTGAAGATTTGTCCATCAACTTTCCATGAATGTTTCTTCTAATACCCTGAACCTCATCCCCCCACTTCCTCTGTGCCATCCACCTCCATCCATTCCATTTTAGCCACATATCATGACCACACAGCTTAAAACACTTTTTTTCTTATGATAACTTTTAAGATCTACTCTCTCAGCAACTTTCAAATATGCAATATAGTGTTTTTAACTATAGTCACCACGCTGTACATTACATCCCTATTACTTATTTATTTTCTAACTGGAAGCTTGTACCTTGTTAACCTTTATATTACCAGCCTCTGCTATGCCATGTGCCAGGTACATTTTTTCACATTTAATAATTATTTTTTTTAAATAAATGAAGAAATAACAGTTGGCCAGATTGCTACGGAAATTCTGCAGACAAACCAATGAACACACAAAATACTCCATCTCAGCCTTGTTCAAATCTGAATAAAATAAGAAATACCGGGCGTGTTTTAATATTCATGAAATATTACTTTCTTCCTATATAGCGCTCGCCATCTTGCAAATGGCCAGAATACCTAGTAAATCAGCCTTCAACTTGATAGAGGACGAACTATAGAGAATGGATTTCAACAGAGATGAAGTGAGGGCGATCATAGCAATCTTCAGAGTACTGAGGTGATTTATAGGTAGAGACTTCTTCTAGATTACCTGCCACCGAATTTCAACTAGTCCCCTTATAATATTCCTGCCAGAGAAAGACACCACTGGATACACTGTTAATATTGAATTCCACTCAGAAATGTGGCTTTGAAAAATGCACACATCTTCAACAGTAATGACTCTGGTGGCTGTATCAAGAGAATTGCCTTTTTGCATGGTGCTCTGCTTTTCTTCAATAAAGCATGTATGTTTTATGTTTACATTAGGACTCTCTTTTTTTCAAAAAAGTTTAGGTTCAGCTTCTCTCTTCCAAAGAATTACTTTCTGCAGGTTGCAACGTTATATCGGTTTTGATTTGTCGTGTTCTGCTATTAATAGTAACTTAAAAGGGACAAAAATCAATATTGAACATGGGCCACTGTCAAACCACTATATATCGTCCACCTCAGTAAAACCAGACCACAGAGATTATAATGGTCTCTAGTTTCACAAGTTTACCATGAGGCAAGGAAGCGTTTTTGTTCTGAGGTCAAAAAATTTAATTCATGCTGCAAATCACTTTGCTTCCAGCCACTGTGAAAAAGCCTGTTTATGTTTATCAAGGATTTTTGGATGGCTCCTGCTATCTGTGTATGTGCCAGAATCTTTGAAGAGAGCATTGTTCTTGTGCAGTGAATTCCAGTTCAGGACAGAGAAGAACATTCCTTTTCAAAACAGCCCTCTTAGAACCAAGCCTGCAGTGTAGTATTCTTACTCTGGGTACTTCGATGAGCTTTGCTATGTATTTGTTCGTGTGTGTGTTTCCTCATCCTGAAGTTTTGCAGTTCAGCCCCAGAGGTCACCTGTTCCAGTGCTCATGAGTGAAAATGTGTCAAAAGGTTGTTGTGGTTTCGACGTTCCTAAATCTTTCTCAGACAAAGTTTCCTTCCAGTTCGCCTTCTCTGTTTTCACTTACAGAGCCTCAAGTTGGGTGCCAATTAAAACTGAGAGAATATTACAGGGTTCAGAGAGGCAACCGTCTTTGTAAATACATGTTATTTTTAATGTAAATGTCAAAACTCACAGAGAATTTTCCACTGGACCATCCGGAAGGGGCTGGTCCGGCTTCTGTAGCCACAGGTTTTACCCGCGGCTTCCAATAAGGAATCATTTTGTGATGTCTCCAGAACCTGAATCCCTCCGCCACTTTGAATCCGGCTTTTAAATGTCTTTTTGCAAGGCTTGCCAAGAGTGAACTTGTGTTTAGAGAGCCAGTGTTTAATTTGCAGTTGAAAGAGACAACCCTGTCTTGAATGTAGTCTTTAAAGAGAAGGGAAAGAGCAACAGGAAAGAGAAAGGAAAAGGCAGAAGTTGGAAAGGAAGAAACTCAAGGAAATCAGTCCCTTTTGCTTTGCGTAGATATTGTGAATGGCTTTATTCTTGGATTATTAGTTTCTTAAATGCCCTGCTTAGTGCCCGTCATGGACCACTTGGCTTATGATTGTGGGTGGCTGGAAGTCAAAGTTGTAAACCAGGTCACTTGAACTCAGAATTTAGCCAGTGGCTCTTTCACATTCGTAAGCAAGAACACTGCTAGCCTCCCCACCAAGCTAGCATAAGGACTGACCTTTCACGGATCACAGGAAGGAAGTCTGGCTTCTCCAAAGAGAAGTCACATTAATTTTGACATAAAAGACTTGCCAACAAAACTCTGGGCAGAGGCAGGAAAATTCAACGCGGGAGAAAGCAGGGTGCATGCCAATGGTAGAAATACCAGGAAGTTGAAGGTAAGAAAGGGGATTTCGGGGGGAGCTAGGTTTAGGGTTGGTGGGGAGGAATGTAGGAAGGCAGATTAAGGAAATCAACGTATAGAGCAAATGGATCATGCTCTATCTGGAGAAATAACACGTCCTCTTTCTCCAAATGTGTAGCTAGGAAGGGTAGAGCTTTCCAACGATTTTTAAGGTTTTACATTTTTAAGGCTTTAACTATCATAAAAAGATTCTAGGGGAAAGGGGGACAATAAGACATGTAGAGAAGCTACTCACAGGGAGGCACATTTTTTGAAAGCAGTTTAATCATCACCAGCCAGAGAAGCCGGTGGCCCTGCCCCTAATTACCCTGATGTTAGAACCTGATTGTTAACTGAGGTGGTCCATTTAGGTAATGTGCTGATAAAGAGTACTGGACTCAGGAGGAGGGTGGAGACCTGAGGATAGTGACGGCCCTGTCATTAACCAGCTTCGAAGCTTGGGCCCAGATGCTTCACCCTCTGGGCCTCAGGATCTTTGCCTCCTGAGAAACATGGTGTAAAGGAAAGAAACTTTGAGCTTCTTTCCAACTGTGAGCCAGACCAACTGGATTAATGTCCTGACTCATAGACTCAACAGCTGTGTGATCTCAGGTGGATATTTCAGCTCTCTGAGCCCAATTTCCTCCTCTTTGGAAGAAGATAATAAGGCCTGCTTTACAGGAATGGGTGGGACAGATTAAAAAAGAATGAACGGTAAATGCTGAGTAAATGATAGTTATTATCTGTCTAATGAGAGGCTGAATGACTTTGTGATTCGTTCTAGCCCCTAAAATTTTCTTATTCCATGGATCATTGTTAATGATCTTAAATTTTTAAATATGTGCATATTCACTATAATTATATAGCACACACTTATTTCTTCATATCTTTAATAGGACTATTTTCCTTTTGCCATTTCACCAGTTTATTTCAAAAAGGGAGAAAGAACAGAATCACTGCGCCACATTAAAACAATTAGCCATGAGAGAAATTATTTCCCTAATGGGGACTTGCCTGAATATTTCCACTGTGTGTTTGCACCTTCGCAAATGATCCAAGATAAAGTGCCTTCTCTCTCTCGGGATGTGACTTTACAATCCAATTATTTTCACTGTCAGGAAGCATTTTCTTCATTTCTAGTCAAAATTTACCTTAATTTCAGCTGGTGCCATGCTAAATAATTCACTCTTCTCTTTGATTTGCTGGATGTATGTATACCAAACAGGTTTACATTTTATTTTCTCTCTCTCTGTCTCTCTGTGTCTATCTTTGTGTATGGGTCTGTGGCCAGTTGAAGGCGCACCTTTAATTAACAGCTCCCTTAATAAACATATACATGTACTTTTGCCTTCACAATTGCTTTACTCCTTTACCATTAAGAATGTATTCATTAACTAGATGCAACTAACACAATACTCACTCAACCAAAATCTTTGAATTTTAGCCTTTGAGCAATAGGAAACATATAAAGATAAAAATCAAAGATATGGGGCCAGCCCCATGGCGTAGCAGTTAAGTTTGGCGTACTCCACTCAGGCAGCCCAGGTTCCTGGGTTTGGATCCTGGGTACAGATCTACACCACTTGTCAGCCACACTCTGGTGGCAACCGACATATAAAGTAGAGGAAGATTGGCACAGATGTTAGTTAGCACAGGGCTAATCTTCCTCAGCAAAAACACAAGGAAAAAAATCAAAGATATGAGGGAATAATTTAAAAAGACAAGAAAATCTTCCAAGGTTCACCCTGTTATCAGTACAGCTACATTATGTACATAGTCCCTGGGGCTCAAGTGTCACCAGGACCATCTATATCTACATTTATAAAAGATACTCTAACGTCCTGCAAGATCTGGGCAAAAAATATCATAAGTAAATAAAGAGTAAACAATATTTACTCTACAGTGTCTCTCAATATGAGAAGGAAGCTAATACAATTTGGAAATAATTTTTAAAACCAAGGTGGAAATTAACACACTTTGTGTTTTGATTTTCAGCTTGATTTCCAGCTCACCAAAATGATTTTTCCTGAATACTTAATTTTTACCGTTTTGGTTTTTTGAGATGTATCAATTTGGGTCCTTCTGATTCCAATGACAACTGAAAGTGGAATAAAGATAGGAAAAATTATGATTTCATATAATTGGAAGTTAAGGGTAGAACAGGCTTCAGGCTTGGTGCGGTGAATGACTCAAAAATGACATCAAAGACAGGTTTTTTCCATCTCCTTGTGTTGGTTAGATCTTCTGACTGGTTGCACGATGGCTGAAGCAGTTCAAGGGTTCCATCCCCAAAATGGCAACGTCAAGAAGAAAAAGGGAGATTATCTTTCTTAGCAGCAAGTAGATTTTCACAGAAGCCTTCTGAAGCCTCATTGGCCTGAGTTGATCCATATGCCTGTTTCTGATCCAAGAACTGGTGAGTCTCAGACCTGAGTTTGTGGCTGTATGGGAGACGGGTAGATAACTTACAACATTGTAGTTGTGTCAAAAGAAAAAGAACTGGGGAATGTATACTGGGTGGACATCCGACAGTGTCTGATCTAATAGGATTCTTTAAATTTAACTTGATACCCTTGCCAAAAACATAAAAATAAATAATGCTTTGCATATTCCAAACCTATATCCATGGAGTGTAGAGGCTCTAATAATTCGGGAGGATTCTGGTCTGTAAAGCATCTAGTACTTTTCTTGCTCTTGCTGTTGTCATTGCTGAGTTTTTGTTTATTGCTTTTTCTTTTCTCTTCCTTTTTGTTCTTTTTTAACTAGAGTTCACAAAGCTTATAATTTATCAAGTTCTCTGGCATCTTTGTGTCAGGGGTGTGCTCCTGAAATAATTCAGAACAACTGGAATGTGGGCTTGGTTTCAGCTTATATAAAAAGGAATTCCTTCAGGAAGGGAAGTGGAAAGGATAGGGAACAGACACAGAAATGCAGAGTACCCTGGGTTCCGTGCTCCAGGATCAGGCTTAGAACAGGTGTGGTTTCACTTCATTCCTTCAAATAAGATATTTAATTATGGTTTGGTTGAAGAGTGTGGCCGCAGGAAACCACGTGTGTACTTGAGGGAGGGACGTGAATGGGTATACTTTCCTCTGTTGGGGAAAGGCTCTATATTTCCCTTCTAATTGAAGAATCAGGGGTTATCCGTTGCTGCATCACCAGTGTCTTTTCCTAGGTCCACTGTATATATTGATAGTGGGCATTTCCCTTCAACATATTTTATAAACTTACTGACCCCAGGGCCCTGTATCACCACCCTTGTTTACTGTTGAATTCTCAGCTTATACTTCACAGTCCCCAGCCAAGAAAATAGAAAGTACATCAAAGCCCGTGAACAGATCTGAAATTATTCTTGGCAATAAAAAACTAGGTCAACTACAACATGACAATTCTAGATATGTGGAACCTGATATTATGCTATCCTTGTATGTTTCCATTGCAGAGGAAGAGACATTTATTAAAGCAGTTAATAATATGGGCTAGGAACTGTGTTAAGCATTTTAAAAAAAGTATCTTATATAATTCTTTCATTGACTCTCAAAATTAGTATCAGACACTGCTTGGGGTCCACCAAATACTTATTCTTCCCTTTTTCCTTTCTAACAAAATCCATGTGCCCAGCTAAAAGCACTTACTTCCCTGATTCCTTTGCCTCTAGGTGGCCATGGTGGAGAGTTCTTTTCAGTGAGACACAATGAGAAATCTGCTAGAGGGTATGGGAAAAGCTCTTGCTTCCCTGATACGAGCTCCACTCCTTCTGGCTCCCTTTATGTCCATTTATCTTCCCCCATTTATGATATAATTGTCTTAAATATTTCCTCTACATACATTTAGAACCATGTCAGGTAGTGTCATAATTTTCCTTTCAGCGATCAAATATACTTCAGAAAACTCAAGAGGAAAACAAAAGTCACATGTTATTCATCCATATTTTTGCTGACCATATTTTTTCTTCCTTCCTGATGTATGTTTCATTCTCGCATCGTTTCCTTTGTGTTTTGAGAACTTTCTTTAGCCTTTCTTTTAGGGTAGGTCTGATAGTACAAATTCTCTTAGATTTCCATTATCTGAGAATGTCTCTATTTTCCCTTTCTTCCCAGGATATTTCCACTTGTTATAGGATTCTAGATTGACAATTCTGTTAAGAACTAGAAAACTATTTTGTCATTTCCTTCTGGTGTCCATGATCTCTGATGAGAAAATATCATTCTAGTTGTCTTCCTCTGTAGGTAAATGTGCCATTTTTCTCTGGCTGTTTTCAAAATTTTTTTCTTTGTCTTCAGTTTTCAGAAGTTTGATTGTATTATATCTTAACATAGTTCAGCATCTAATCAACTTCTTGAGTCTCTAGGTGTATATCTGTTGCCAAATTCGGCAAGTTTGCAGCCATTATTTCTATGAGTACTTTTCAACTTTGGCTTCTTTCTCATCTCCTTCTGGTACTTTGATGACATGAATGTTCAATGGTTAGTTATCGTCCAATAGCTCCCTGAGGCTCTGTTCATTTTTGTTCAGTCTATTTTCTCTCTGTTCAAACTGGGTGATTTCTCTTGCTCCATCTTTCAGTTACTGATCTCTACTCTATTTCCTCCTTTCTGCTATGGAGCCCATCTACTGAGAATTTTACTTCAGTTATTGTATTCATCAATTCTAAAGTTTCCATTTGGTTCTTCTTTATAACTTTTCTTTCTTTGCTGAGATTTTCTATTTTTCATTTATTTCATGTGGGTTTGCGATTGCTTGCTAAAGCATTTTTATCATGGCAGCTTTAAAATCTTTGTCTGATAATTCTAACATCTCTTCTTATCTTGGTAGTGGCATCTGTTGGTTTTTGTTTTTTCATTTAGTTTGAGATCTTCCTAGTACTTGGTCTGATGAGTGATTTTTTTTTATGGAAACCTGGACATTTTCATAGAATGTTATAAGACTCTAGATCTTAGTTAAACCTTCTGCTTTTGCTGACTTTCTCTGATGACACTCTGGCAAGTCTAGCAAGAGGGAGACATTGTCCCGATACTGTCAAATGGAGGTAGAAGTCCAAGTTCCCCACAGTTTCTGTTGATACCAGAGGAGTAGAGCTCCCCATTACTGCAGAGTTAGGATGAGAGATCTGGTTTCTTGTGTGGTTGGTCTCCACTGACACTGTGGAGACAGGAGCCTTAGGACTTGCCTGTGGAGATAAAAGTTTTAGCTCCCCAATTGGCGTTTTTTGACATTACCCAGTAGGAATGTCAAGACACCTCATTACAGCCTTGTGAGGGTAGAAGTCTAGGCTCCCTTTTTGGCCTTTGCTGTTAGGGATGAGGCCACAGTTCCTTTTGTAATGTCTGGCTGGAGAAGAGTGGTTCCTGAATAGAAATTTTCTATCTTTCTAGGCTATCCCTTTCCCGGAACTTTGGCTAAAGCAAATAATCTTTTGTTCAGGCTTTTTTGGTCTACATTCATTGCTATTTCCAGGTTTCCAGCTTCTTCAGCTCCAGATCCAGGGTATGTGAAGCAAAAAGAAAACCGAAGAAACTCACCGCCATGTCATTCCTTGGCTCGTGAACTCCCTAGGCAAGCTGCCTTCTTCTCTCCACCTTTTAGAATTTTCTTATGCTTGTTTTATATATCATATCCATAGTTTTTAGTTGTATTTTGTGGAGGGGATAGGGAAAAGTATTTCTATTCCAGATTTCTGGAAGCAGAAACTACTCAAGAATCTATATATTTAATAAACATCCTAGGTGATTCTGGGGCAGGTGTCCATGGGCCACACTTTGAGGAACATTTTATAGATGATGAAACTGAGGCCCAGAGAGAGGAGCTCAAAGGCACAGAGGTCAAATACTCAGTTGCACAACATGAAGTCTAAAGTAGGACCCATGTCTCCTGGCTTCCATTTCAATGCCATTTCCTCCCTGTGACACTGAATAAAGCAGCTGAGAATCCCAAAAGGAGTTAATGTACCAGTTTCACTGATATTCATGGAGATCAGGGAGTTTGCCTAAATGTAATGCATGAACTTAAAGAAAAGTGGAAGCAGGATCTTTCTGATTCATTTGCTTTCCATAAACTACAGTGTAATTTCTACTGAGGAGGATTCCAGGCCAATGCTCCAAGATGGGGCATTGTCTGCACGTGGAAGAATTGTTCTTGGAAATAAAAGCCTCTGCAGTATATTGAGGGTGCTGCACACAGCCTGGATAGTCTGACTCACACACAGTGAAGCTTTTCCAGTTATGTTAATACTCATTTGGCAGCTGCCTGTATAATTGCCTAAGTCAGTTGGTAGACATGCAGGAAATGTTAATTCTCTGCGAATATAGTTATTCATAACTCAGTGTCACTGTATCACCCTCAATAGAGACAGCTCTTCAGATGTCACTGCCTTTGGGGGCAGGAGGTCTGTATTTAGTCAGCTTTGGGGAGCCCTTGAACTCCCTAAAGGGGAATCTGGAGGGACAGGAAAAGGCGTGAGACTGAAGGAAGCATACAAATGCATCTAATGAAATACGGGCATCCTTCAGTGGCTGCCTTTCATTTGAGTGTCCCCATGCACAGGTTGTACCAGATGGCATTCTCATGGTTTCCATCAATGTGGAAATGTGATGAAGAAGGGGAGGAGAAAAATGGATGAGAAAAATAACAGCAGTCTGCACAGCTGAAAATAATTATGATTACGTAGCTAATGACCCAGGGAATTAGACAAAGCCAAGCTCATTGGAACTCAGGCCACATGCAGGCAAGTGTCACAACTTAATGACAAAAGATGAATTGTTTTATGTCCTACATGGTAACTCATGATCGGAAGTAGTGGTTCTTCTCTCTGAATCCCTATCTTAGAATAAAGTCATAGGGAGACCCATGTGCTGAGTACCTTTTCATTTTGAAAGGAAATTGAGCTAGAAACAGTTTGGACTATTAAAATATTAAGAAACTTCACTAAATATTATATTGATATTCATTTTGACCTGTAGGAGTAGTAGGCAGCAATCCGAAGGATGTCGGAGACAGACTTTCTGCCACTAAAATATGGCTTATGCATTCCTTGGAAGGGAGGGTCAAATTTGACACTTCTTTTGTGCTCATTTAAAAGCATTTATTGAGATTCTGCCATGCAGATGGCCCTGCTTAACAACCTGTGTTGGAAAGATGAAAAATACACTACCTCTGCCCAAACTGGAGGTGCTTGCAGGAGTGGACACTTTGTACATATTGATTTCAAGCGGATGATTGATTGCTATTCCCTACCCGGACCCTGCTGAGGTTGGTGAAATTCCCACTGCCTTCCATGAAAGCTGTGAAAGCTGATACTCAGATGCTGGTGGTTCAAGTATTCATTCTTTAATTCGTTCACTCAGTCATTCAGCAAATCTTTTACTAAATACCTATTATGTTCCAGGAACTATGCTTTGTTTAAACTGGTGAACAACA